CAAATACTATCAAATACTTTCTCTGCATATGTTGATAATATCATGATTTCTTAATCTTTACTTTTGTTGGTATGATGTACATTGACTGATTTATTTATGTTAAACCATCCTTGTATCCCTGGGATAAATTCCATTTGATCATAATGTAGAAATTTTGTGATATGTCTGCAGAAGGAACTACCTGCCTTTGGGCAAAGTTTGGTCATGTTTTACCACCTTTAGTTTCTCCAGCCTTATTTTCTTCATCAGACTCTGCTTTCCACTCCCTGTCTATATCCCCGTTCCACAACTAGTCATTGACCTCCTGTTAGCCTTCTCCCATTGCGTCAAAGCTAAAATACTTATTAACTAGTTATACAAGGCCTTTGCTTAAAGAAGTAAACTTGGGATGCTATTCCTCCCTGTTTTATCTTCTGAATATTTCTCTCTGGACTATCACTTCCTGAAGGGGACCTTCTAGGACATCTGCCTAAACTTCCCCTCTCTCAGAAAGTTACAATTGTCCACTACTAACATGCCTTTAAATTTGTATATTCTGGGTGTGATAAGTCATATTTGTCTAGAATTATCAGGGTGACTTTGTATTGTTTGGGTGCTCAGATCTACATCTTGGGAAATTATTTTTGAAGATTTTATTTATTTATGTATACAAAAACTGGGGTGCAGGTAGTAAGAGGATTCACCAGAGATAGAGTGGGGAACAGAACAGGCAGATTGAAAGAAATACACTGCTAAGGGGAGCAGTGGGCAAGACAGGAGAGGTCTGCTGAGCCATGTGGGTCAGCTCCCTGACCAGGGATTGAACTCATGCTGCAGAAGCTTCAGAGAGCTTCACAGTGCTGTGCTTAACCCCTTGCGCCACGAGGGAGGCCCATTGGAAAATTTATTTCTGTTTTCTATCCACTACCTTTACCACTTGCCTTGTCTACACTTAATCTTCATTTCTTGTTCTTTCTGTCCCTACTGCTTCCCATCCCATTTTGTAACACTTATTTTTTATCTTAGAGTTATTTAAAAAATGTGGAAATGTAGAAAGCAAGAGATAGGGACATGCCAAGAACACACAACCTTCCTCCCACACCTGCTGTGTGCTCTCTTAAACTGTCCAATTAGTCTAAAGCTGGAGTGAGTAATCTCTTGGGCCTTGGTGTCTGTGTTTGAAAGCAGACACACCCCTATTAGCAGTAAGCCTCAGGCATGTTACAAAGCCTCTTTGAACATTAATGTCACCATTAGTAAAGTGCAGATAACAATAACAAAATCTGCATCCTAGATGAAGAAATGTCTGTGAAGTGCCTATGAGTGCCTGGCATATCGTGACTAATGAGTGCTCATGATTGCTAGTATCATGTGAACAAGTTACTCTGTGACCAAGTACAGCCTCAGGCATGTTACAAAGCCTCTTTGAACATTAATGTCACCATTAGTAAAGTGCAGATAACAATAACAAAATCTGCATCCTAGATGAAGAAATGTCTGTGGTTAAGGTCTTATTGTCTGTGTCAAAGGTCTTATTGGTTAAGTTCAAATTTTTGCATAGAGAAGGAAGTCATACAAAATATACAGTTTTTTTTTAAGAATAAAAAACAAATAATAATGTGGCCTTGCCAAGTTTCCTGGATTTCCAATTGTCAGAGCTCCCTGGGAATGCTACTTCACCAGGGATTCAATTATCACCTTAAAATAATTTTAAAAACCCAAGGCACAGAGAAGATGCATCTACTCTCAGTCTTGCCATTGTCTTCTTTGGTGCCTTAAAAATAAGGCACAGGCACATTTTTAACTGCACACCTACATGAAGTTCTAAATTTACCAATGGAGTATTGCGTGAACATAGGCAGCTCCAGCAGCACAGTGGGTGGGCAGACCCAAGGGTTGGGCTCAGCTGCCCCCTAGTCCTCCCAGACTTGCACCAGTGACAGCAAATTGCATGCTTTCATCTGTGAGTCTCAACAATATCAGTCTTGAGGGAGCAATAAGAAAGCCCTGGTGACAGCTGTCACTTCCCTTATGTTGGCGCTGAAGCCCTAAGTCCCTGCTCGGCCTGCCTCTCTGGCCCTGGCAAAGCAGATTTTGAAATGCCCATGAGGCAGAGGGGATGATGTAAAATACTACCAATCCTTTAAAAGCCAGACACTGAATTTGCTGTGTCCTAGAAGGGAGAGGGGTTTCTAGATGAGCATAGAACAATTTTTTTTAATTTATTTATGCACACAAGAACTGGGGTGCAGGCCAAAGGTGCAGAGGTGAGAGGACCCACCAGAGACAGTGGGATACAGAGCAGGCAGATCTACTGAAATCCACTGCTGAGGGGAGCAGCAGGTGACACAGGAAAGGTCAGTTCTCTGACCAGGGATTGAACTCAGGCCACAGCAGTGATAGAGCTAAGACTTAACCCCTGGGCCACCATCCAGGCCCCAAAACAATTGTTTTTATGAGTTCTTATACATGCAAATGACGAATGTAATTTGATAACAAGTGATTATATTTATAAAAATTGCATATCCTGGGCCTCCCTGGTGGCACAAGGGGTTAAGTTGCAGCACTATGATGCTGTCTGCAGCCACTGCAGCATAAGTTCAATCCTCAGCCCAAGAGCTGACCCACATGGCACAGCAGACCTCTCCAGTCTACCCCAGTGATCCCCTCAGCAGTGTATCTAGGTATATCCACCTGTTCTGCTCCCCACTCTTGTCTCTGGTGAAGCTCTCTCTCTCTCTCTCTCTCTCTCTCTCTCTCTCTCTCTTTCTCTCTCCTCTCTCTCTCTCTCTCTCTCTCACACACACACACACACACATGCATACACAGACACACACAGAACCTCCCACCCCCCAACCTCTGACCTGTACTCCAGTTCTTGTATGCATAAGTAGATTAATCTTTTTAAAAAATTGCATATCCTAAACTGTATGTCAGAGCATAAATAGTATAAGGTCTACTAAATGCACATGAATTACTTGGGGGTATATATACACACATGTTTTATATAATATGCACATTTTAATTGCTTATTAGATGTATATACTAATATAGTCACAAAGTTTCTCTCTTGTTAATGTTCCAAATATAAATTCTAAAGGGTATCCACAATTAAACACACAATGGCTAGCAACAGGGTATATAGGTGTAAATTGCATAATTTACAATTATCCATTTATGAGCTATTGTTAATATGTGATTAGTAAAGGATAATTTTTAAAATCAAGGCCAGGACAAAGAGGTGCTTAGCATGCAAAATCTCAAGTTCTTGTGGGTACCACCTGTGGTACCCTAGTTGTGGCTCTGTTAAAAAATGCCTCCGTTTTTCCCATCAAGCTCATCACTACCACCTATGATCGCTGATCACTAGATATGAGGCACTAGTTTATTAACTTGATATATATTAACCTACCTAGAGAGATGATATGGCTGCAAATAACACGAGCTCCAAGCGAATCATAAGAAATTGTGCCTAATGAGCAAAATGTTTGAAAACCGTCACCTGAAACCCCCCAGCTGGACATGTCCTCTGCTGAGACCTCCGGGTCAGGCCTTAGTCCACACCTCCCAGGAACACACAGCCCCTGCGCTCCTTCCTCCACAACACGCCGCTGATGTTCTTTGAATTTCCATCAACTGTCCTTCTGCTGATTGCGCTGCCTGTTAGGCCAGTTTGACAGGCAGGAGGCTTCCAATCTATTTAACTATGTGTCTTCTGATTGACATATCTCAAGAGGAAGAAGGAAACATTTTTGTATTGTGTATTACTACTCCCACTTTGAAAATTGTGGTACATAATGGAGCTTATGAGAGTCTAACTGTACTTCAACAAGCTAATACGTTTATATTTATTTTTTTTTTTTTTTTTTTTTTTTTTATAGAGGCATGCTTTATTTATTTGTTGCTGGTTTCTTTGTTTGTTTTGTTTTATACATGCACTGGGTATAGTCAGAAGCGCGGGAGGGTGAGAGAATTCACCAGAGCCAGAGCGGGGAGCAGAGCAGGCAGAAGGACCGAAGTACACTGCTGAGGGGAGCAGCGGGCGGCAGGAGAGGTCTGTGCGCCATGTGGGACCCTCCTCTGGTGGCCGGGGAGCAGCCGGGGATCGAACCGGCGCCGCAGAGGCCGCGCGCAGCTTCGCAACCCAGCGCTCAACCGCTGCGCCACCGGGGAGGCCCTAATACGTTTATATTTAAACCCATGCATAGACCCAGGAATGGGGATTTACACAACACATTATCTAGTATCTAGCTACAGGTGATTTACTGTCATACACTGAAACGTCTGAAACGTGGCTGAACTACAAGATGGATAGTAATATTATATTGTGGTGTATATCCTGTTCACATCAGGCCTCTGTAATAAAAGCCGAACAGCAATCTACAGAACCTGTCTTAAATCTGCCATCTAAGTTACTGATTGTAAAATAAAATTATCAAAGTGCAGGTTATCTCTATGCTGCCATCCCCTGAGAGAGGGGTATGCAAAAAACTTCTGACTTTTTATTTATTTACATCCAGTCAACAGAAACATAAATTAAATTAAAAACCTTAGTGTTATGTGGCCTGAATAAGGCACACTTAATATGTTGCTAAGTAGATTTCTTTTTAGATATCACAGACTACTGCTTGTATTATACTTTTCTCCAGTGTACCTTTGCTACTTACAGACAACAAATATGCTTATAAAAATAATAGACTAAAATGAAATTTGCAAGCCAGCAATCTCACTTGCTATGATCCTGCTGAGAACAATTTTTAGCAAGTTTTATTTGACACGTGAAATTGAGTATCCTACAAATTGATTTCATTTAAAATAATTTCTTGAGGATGCAATGGAAATAGACCTACACAAACAAGTTAACATTGCATAGAGAAATCAAATGAATTTCAAGCAATACTTTTTGTCTTGATAGTCAAGTAATTGGAAGAATATTAAGGCCAAACTTCCTTGTAAAAATGGATGTCCTTGTGTATTATACAATGTAAGGGCAGAAAGGTAGGAGGTCTGGGGTCACTCACCCTCTCTTCCAAATGCTTATGGTTCCACAGACTCAGGTAAAGGTGATGGTCAAAAGAATTCTTGGAGGTAGTAAGAATCTTCCACATAAAAAAAAAAAAACAGAAACAACAAATGCTGGTGAGGGTATGGAGATAAAGGAAACCACCTACACTGCTGGTGGGAATGCAAACTGGTCCATCCACTATGGAAAGCTGTGTGGAGGTTCCTCAGGCTACTAAACATGGAGCTACCATTAGAACCAGTGATTTCACTCCAAGGACTCTACCCAAAGCACACAAAAATACTAATTCGAAAGGGAACCTGCACTCCTATGTTCATTGCAGCACTATTTACAATAGCCAAGGTATGGAAACAAACTAAATGTCCAAAATTATACATGGATCAAAAAATTGTGATGTATTTATGCAATGGGATATTACTCAGTGATCAAAAAGACATTCAATCATTTGCAGCAACATGGATGGAGCTGGAAGGGATGATACTGGACAAAATTAGTCAGAAGGAAAAAGATAAATCCCAGATGGTCTCGCTCATATGTGGAACATAGAGAAACCACGCAAAATATCAACAAAACGTCAAAACTAGCAAGCTGGCTATAGAACTGAGGCATACAGCATAGGAGTGTGGGGGCAGGGGTGTAAAACAGGGGAGAGAAAAACACAAGGAAATATGGTGATGGTTCATGGGTGATAAGGTGCTGGGAGAACTATGTGGACGACAATGATGTAAGAAAAAAATTTAATTAAAAAATTTTTAAAAAAAAAGAATTCTTGGAGGAAAAAGAAGGATCAGTACTTTGGCCATGTTGCCATAATACACAGGATATCCAGAAGCTCCCTTTGGGATTCCTTGGTTCCTGATGGACTCTTCTACAGTGACACCCATCTCACTGAATGATAATAATTGCTTACATCGTTTTTTATGTATAAATATAAATATTAATATATAATATTTTCATATGTATAATGTATACATATTATATAAAATATGTACATATATACCTCATATAATAGGACAAGTTATATAATATAATTAATATACTATAATTTGTTTACTTATTTCTTCCCACCCAGACTATAAAGTTCTTGAGAAGAGAAATAGTCTTTTTTTTTAAGAGTTATTTCTTTATTGTAAGATTTTTTTTAATTTATTTTGCATAGAAGAACTGGGGTGTATACCAGAGGTACAGCAGGTAAGATGATTCAGCAGAGACAGAGTGGGGAGCAGAACTGGCAGATCTACTGAAATCCACTGCTAAGGGGAGCAGCGGCAAGACAGGAGAGGTTTGCTGTGCCCTATGTGGCTCAGCTCCCTGGTCAAGGATCAAACTCAGGCCATAGTGTTGACAGCGCTGAGACTTAAACCTTAGGCCACCAGGGAAGCCCAGAAGAGAAATAGTCTTATTCATCCTATGTCTCCAGCACCTAGCCTAGTACTCAGCATCGAGTAGAGAGAGGTTCTGTAAATACCTGATGAAACTGATATTGAAAACAACATGTCTTGAAAGAATAAAAGAGAAATGTGGAGGAGGAGACTACAATATGGTCACATTTCATGGCTCTTATGGAAATGAGAACTGATTAGATGTAGATTTGACACATGGTGCTTCTTAGGGTTCACTATTGAACCACCTCCTTTTCTTACTTGAGCCAGTCCTTTCATTCATTCACTTACTCAACAAATATCTATTGAGCACCAACTATGTGCTAGACAATCACTATCTACTTCAGTAATCCAATACCATGATGAGCTCTGTCAGTTGTGATGATTTCATTCCAGACATGTCAACTGGAGTTGGACTATAAGCTAAACCATGGAACATTTTAATCTTATAATTTAAATATACTTTGTTTTTAACTAGTAACTTCATTCTTCTCAAGACTCAAGGGCTGGGCCTCCCAGGTGGCGCAGCGGTTGAGCGCTGGGTTGCGAAGCTGCCCGCAGCCTCTGCCGCGCCGGTTCGATCCCCGGCTGCTCCCCGGCCACCAGAGGAGGGTCCCACATGGTGCGCAGACCTCTCCTGCCGCCCGCTGCTCCCCTCAGCAGTGTACTTCGGTCCTTCTGCCTGCTCTGCTCCCCGCTCTGGCTCTGGTAAATTCTCTCACCCTCCCGCGCTTCTGACTGTACCCAGTGCATGTATAAACAAAACAAACAAACAAATAAATAAATAAATAACATGCCTCCATTAAAAAAAAAAAAAAGACTCAAGGGCTTATGCTAGTGCACAGCTGACAACATAACTAGATCTTCTGAAGGTCCTGGTTTCATTTGACAAATTTGCCAGTAATATGCTAAGTGCTACTTAGATGCTCAGGCCTTGAAGTGAGCCTTGGTTTTCCTCATTTCATACCAGACGGGAGGCTCTGGGGCAAGGTGCTTATTATGTTTTTCTTGATTCTATGCTTTATTTGGAAAATGCCTTATTTTCTTTCAACAAATAATATCTACTTCCAATGTGGTCCAGAGAAAGTGGGAATGAAATTGAATTATCTTGCCTTTTCATCTTGAAACATCATGTCAAACTGACTTCTCACCTAGTTTATAAAAACATTTGTCTTTTTGTGTCTTCCTGGTGGCCTAAGGGTTAAGCCTCAGCACTACCCTTCATATGGCCTGATTTCCATCCCCAGCAAAGGAGCTGACCCACATAGGGCGCAGCAGTCCTCTCCTGTCTCATCTGCTGCTCCCCTCAGCAGTGTATTTCAGTAGATCTGCCTGTACTGCTCCCCACTCTGTCTTTGGTGAATCATTTCACCCCTGTCCCACACACCTCTTACACCCCAGTTCTATGCAAAAATAAATAAAATCTTAAAAAAAAAAAGGCTGAGAAGTTTAAAAAAAAAGGTTTGTCTTTTCTATCAATGACAGAGAAAATCCCAATAAATGTTTAATAAAAATCCTGCCTGCTAAAATGAAAGCAGATGTCTTTTAAACTACATAAAGCATTTGACTTGTTTCTTCCCCAATTACACATGATTTCTGTACAGAAGGAGGTCTTTCAGTCAAAAGCGACTACAGAAAATGATACTAGTTTTGCTTACAAGAGGACTAAAAGGTTTTTTGCCTTGCCATTTCCCCTTATTAAACTGACAGAGGCATCTTTTTTAGAATTCTCTTAAAAGCAAGCTTGTTTACTTATAGGTCAAAGAAGAAAATCAGCAAAATCAACAATAAAAAAGACCCATTTGTTCTATCCGTATTACTGCCAGAACAGTGTTACACCTTTCAGTGGGTTTTTTTTTTGGGTTTTTTGCATAGAAAAGCTGGGGTGTAGGCCAGAGGTGTGGGGTTCGAGGGTGAAGGTAAGAGGAGTCAGCAGAGACAGAGTGGAGAACAGAACAGGTGGATTGACTAAAATACACTGCTGAGGGGAGCAGTGGGCGAGACAGAAGAGATCTGCTGTGCCCTATGTGAGTCCGCTATCTGGCCTGGGATCAAACTCAAGCTGTAGTGGTGATAGAGCCAGACTTAACCCCTCGGCCACCAGGGAGGCCCTCAGTGATCCTTCTGACTATAAATGTCATAACTAACAGTGGATTCGGATTCAGCATTTACCTTCAAAAGATGAATAGTAATTAGGCAGTTCTCCGTCAAAATGGGCAATAGTCTTAGCATTAGTTCAATAGAACCTGTTTAAAATTCAATGTTGTTTCCCTTTTTAATTAATTAATATAATTAATTAATCCTACTCCATTTTTCCCTGTATTTTCTTTTCATTTATACACCTAAATATGAAGATAAGTATTGTCATCATTTCCGCGCTGTATCAGGTTGTGCTTTTGGCCATTTACTTAACCACCCAAAATAACTCCATAAATCTTTCTTCATAAATCAATGCCTCCATTCCATTAATCATTTCCATTATTTATCTCTTGGTTCCTTCCAAGACTGTCAATATTGCTTGTTTATTTAGGCACTCAAAATTGAATACAGCTGTCTTAGAGTAATTTCAGCCACACTTGAATGAATGACCAAACCTCTTCCCCTTGGTTCTATAGTATCACCTCATACAGTTCCTGCTCGCTCTCTTTGTTCTAACATTCAGTGTAAATGTGTGCATATTTCACCTGGCCCTTCCTCCTCTTAGGGTGCTACTAGCAACCCCACTTCTCCAGCTTCCCTTCACTTTGCAGTGAATGTTTGCCAGATATTTGTTTATATCCTTCTGAAAGCATTTTTATTTTTTATTCCATATTTCTGACTTTAGTCTTTTTCAACCATAGTACTGTTCATATCCTGGCCATTTATCAAAGCTTATAACACCTCCCAATTTAGTCTTCTCAACAACTGACATCAGTATGCTGTTTAGTCCTCCTTTGGATCAGTAACAAATGCGTAAAATACAAATTACGGGCCTCCCCTGGCAGCACAGGTGGTTGCGCACAGCACTGTGAGGCTGTCTGCAGCCTCTGCAGCGCCAGTTCAATCCCCACCAGCCTCGGAGCAACCCACATGGTGCAGCAGACCTCTCCTGTCACGCCCACTGCTCCCCTCAGCAGTGTATTTCATCAGTCTGCCTGTTCTGTTCCCTGCTCTGTCTCTGGTGAATCCTCTCACCCTCCGGCGCATCTGGCCTGTACTCCAGTTCTTGTATAAATAAATAAATCAATCTTTTTTAAAAATAAATAAATAAATAAATAAAATACAAATTATGAAAATTCAGTAAGAGACAGGCCATCAGAACTTCATACAATGCCACCTCACCCCTGGCACCTCTTGCCTGCATAAATAAGTAAAAATAAATCTTTAATAAATAAATAAATAAATAAAGCTTTAAGACTTTAAACTTGCTGACTTTATCTACACACTGTCACAAAATTGGTCAACTTCATGGGGAAAGAAAACTTTGTAATGAATAGTCAACAGCCTTGTATCCCATCTCCAGGGGAGGTTGTTATTCACCGGGCAGTTTCTATGATATGCCTCCCAGCAAACAGCAAGAGGTACGTACCCCTAGGGCTGGGCAACCTGGAGGTGTCCTGGGTCCTTAGCTATTAAACTCATAATCATAATTGGATTTAAAGCAGCAAAAGAGATGATTGCTATAAATGTAGGATAGGGAATTTAATATTCTTAA